ACACACACACACACACACACACACACACACACACACACACACACACACACACACACACACACACCTTTTGTGTCTATCTTTATTGTTCTACCTAATATTAGTGGTAATGTTGTTTGTTTTGTTTTAACAGGAATCTCACCAGACTTTTTGCATCTATTAAAACTCCTAAAAATCTAAAACCTGTTTGTGTACACCAGAGCTTCTGCTCTGCAAAGTTAGTCCATACTGGCTTCGCCGTGAAGACCATCATGGAGTCCAAACTGTACCAGCCCCCTGCAGAGATCCGGGGTATGACCTTGTTGAACAAAGATGCTTTCACGCAGACCATTACAGTCCCGGCTCTACGGGTTCCCACCAGGGTTTTACATAAAGTAGTGAAGAGCCTGAAAAAGTCCACCCTCAGGCTACCCGGAATATACAGTGTAGTTCAAGACAAAGAGGGAAGTGACGACTTTAAGTTACTTCTGCTGGATCCTCACAGCGTGCTGTCAGCAAGCTCCTTCAGTGAGGCAGAAATGGAGGCGCTGAGGTCGTTCAGTGTGGCTGATGAGCTGCAAAACTATGAGCTGAAGATAACTTACGACAACCTGAAGAGCGAAGAAGTGCTGAAAGCAGTGCTGCCTCTGGGTCAGGATGTGACCTCAGGGTTCAGCCGTGTGGGACACATAGCACACATGAACCTGATAAGCCCCCTCCTCCCATATAAGAACCTTATAGGTGAGAGGAAGAGACTATAACAGAGCCATAAATTATGTCATAAAGACAAGAGATCAAATAACTGATTTTTTGTTGTTCTTTTGCTGCTTTAACTTAAGGTCAAGTTATTATGGATAAAAATCCTGGTGTCACCTGTGTGGTCAATAAGACGAACATAATTGACTCAACTTACCGGACCTTCAAGATGGAGCTCTTGGCTGGAGAGGAGAACATGGTCACCAAAGTAGGCACTTTTTTCCCCCAAGTTTAACCTCAGAACTTTGATCGATTTTAATGCTTCTGTTTGTCGGCATTGTTTGTGCCTTCTGCAGGTGAAAGAAAACGGGATGACGTACGAGTTTGATTTTTCTCGTGTTTACTGGAACCCTCGGCTGAGCACCGAGCACCAGCGAGTGGTGCAGCTCCTGAAACGCGGTGACGCCGTTTTTGATGTGTTCGCCGGCGTTGGCCCTTTCGCCATCCCAGCTGCCCGATCAGGCGCCAAAGTTTGGGCCAACGATCTCAACCCCGAGTCCTACAAGTGGCTGCAACACAACTGCAAACTCAACAAGGTGGATAGCAAAGTCCAAACCTTCAACCTGGATGGCCGAGCCTTCATCCAAGGGCCTTTTAAACAGGGGTTGCCCTCGCTGCTGAAAGGAGGAGCAGGTATTCATGTGGTGATGAACCTGCCCGCCCTGGCTCTGGAGTTTCTGGATGCTTTCAGAGGTCTTCTGCAGCTGGACACAACCTGTGAGCACAGCCTCCCCACAGTGCACTGCTATGCTTTCGCTAAAGAAGAGGACCATGAGGCGGATGTGGTGCAGAGAGCTTCTCGCAGCCTCGGATTCCCAATGGAGAACAAGTGCTCCGTGCATTTTGTACGCAACGTAGCACCCAACAAAGAAATGTGGCGTGTAGAATTCACAATCCCTAAAGAGGTCCTTTTCTGTTGTGAAGAAACAAATGCAGGTGAGAAACTACAACAAGTCATCTAGCAAAAAAGGAGTAACTTTTAAGGCTTTCACATCAGCTTTGAATATATATATATTTTTACATTTTGTTACAAAGTTTCTCATTTAAAACAAAATGTAAGAATTATAAAATCGAACAGTGGAATCAATGCAACAAGCTGGAGAAAAGCAGTTCAGATGTTTACCATTATGCAATAGACTGTCTTATCTTTATGCACTTTGCTCCAGGTAAATAATTCTAAGTTTCAAAACAAGACTAAACATTTTACTGATATTTTCTAGAAGATCATAGTCCTCTTTTATTTTCTAATGCTGTAATTTACAACTAAACATGGCTCTCTGGTCAAATACACAAACAATTTACGTAATCTAAATATTGGAGTTTTCAATGTTTAGAGTATGCAATTTTCTGGAGATCCAAATGTTGTAAAGTTAAGATTTATCTTTTCAATTGAGTAATCTTTGCTTTTCTTTAGTACTCAATACTTTTTTGTTTATTCACAGAGTCCTCAGAGGAACCGGACCCGAAGAGACAGAAGTGTGACGAATCCACATGAAAATCACAAGCCTCACTAACCATTTTTCTTTTCCCCTTTTTAAAAAGTTTTATTATAAGAGGTGTCGCTTCCTCAAATTAAATCATAACTCAGCTTTAGTTCAGTTCATTATTCTGTGTTGTACATTAATTTTTTTTAATAAATCACAAATGATGGATGGGGTCAGTTTTTATTTTTGTGTAAAAAATAAAGTTAACAAAACATTTATACACTTCAGAATCAAAAATAAGTAAAAGAGCCAACAAACAAGCAGCACAGAGGTGGCGCTGCTGTATTTTTCAGAGTCCATTCGGTCACATTTCTGTTGAGAGACAAGTTTCAACACTTGGGAGGAAACAGCCCGCTGAAAGCATCCTGGATGGCTCGGTGACACGCCAGAGCTGAGTTGTATCCTCCAGCTGTGTCCTGAGGCAAGGCGGCCCGTACGTGGTTCAGATACCTGAGAACACACAAAGCTTTACTCAGCACCTGCAGTAACATATTTACAGAGCAGACGGTTAAAAATGCAGCACTTCCAGTGAAGGTGAGACAGGTGTCTTTAAAATATTTCATCTGACTTTATAAAACAGGGTTCCTACAGCTTGAGGCGAGTTGAATTTAAGACTTTTTAAGACCTCTCTAATGCCACTTGAATTTAAATTTAAGACCAACTTCACAATAAACACAAATGGGGGGGAAAAAAACTAGCTCCACGAAGCATTMAATGTTACCAGCTGTTTTAATATTTGAGATGAACTACAATCATCCTACTTACATTTTGTTAACATTTTTAAGACCCCTGAAAGTTTGATTTAAGACATTTTAAGGCTAATTAAGGCCTTAATTTTGGATTGATGAATTCAATGCCTTTTAAAACCTTTTTTTAGGATCCGTGGGAACCCTATAAAATAAGCAGGGGGACTTACAGATGGGTCTTGTTAAAGCTTTGAAACTCTAAATCACGTTTGTGAAAAAAAACAACTAATTTTTCATATCTTTTAAAGTCTTGTTTCCTGTAGTATAAATGTTGCTTTATTTACATACAAATAGGAGTTTTGAACCAATGTTTCCAGCCACTTAAACATGTCTGCACACTCAAAACCAGGATATTCCTTACAGCAATGCTTAAAGCCAATAAGGCTTGCTCAAAGATACTGGACCTGTCTTATGCTGTAGGTCTGGCAGACTGGTCTAAAGCGCTCACACAAGTCTGACTTTGTGGCCTCTTGTTCCTGTGAGCTTGGGAAACTTCAAAGGGAAATGAGTATCAGGGAGCACAGACAGCACTCTGTGATTTCTAAACCCATTCAAGCTGCTTTACAGAGTAACCCAACACCTGTGGGGAGGCTCACAGAGACTGACAGAGCTGAGGTGGATGTGGACGCGAATCGATGACAGACGGAGAGAAAAAAAGTTGTTGCTCAGACGACACGTTGGATAAATCATTTTGCTGCTTTTGTTTTTGCAACTCGCTAAAAGCTCCACCAAGAAAAAAAAATCTGTCACATAAAGTCCTGAAAACAATACAACCAAAACCTTACAAAAAAACAGAAAGTGACACAAGAGCTAAGAATGCCAATCAGATCAGACCACTCATCACCACTGCAGAAACAACAAGCTGAAAACAGGAGGCCCAGTGATTAATAATAACTTCATTAGGCCCAAGCTGCTGTAGCCTGTCCTTCAGAGCACTTGAGGGAGGTCTTCTCATATGGCTTCCTGCATTAGATGAGTGCTATCTATTGATTATATTATACTGGGCTCTTTTTAATGGTGAAAAAAGTGGGCTATTTACGGCCTGGCTAAGTCTGCCCTTCCTGCTAATCTAATCCCCAAGCTACTCATGTGGTCATTCCTTCCAAGAAAGCTGAGAGCTCTGTGTAACTTTATACCTGCCTGCCCCTGAGGAGAGGGAGAGCAGAAGGAGAACATGAAGGAGAGGGAGGAAGAGGGTGTAGATGTGGGGGGCTGGGAAGTGAAAAGAGGAGGTGGGGGTGGTGGAATCAACTTTGTATATCAACATCACAAACCCACTTCTTTTAAACCAACCCTGTCCATCCCTGCGCTCACCCTGAACAGCAAAGGTTAGTTCAGTTCTGCTCCATTAACCCGGCGCCTGTATCCACATCTTCCTGTAAAAAGCTAGCCGCAAACCGGCTGTTGGTGTTCATGAAGCTGAAAAATAAACGGTTTCTTCGAGACTTTACCTGACAGCGCTGCCAACTTCCAGCAGATCTGACATGGGAAATGCTTTTTATGAGCGTTACGCCAACCTAAAGCATTTTTCGATTTCAAAATGAACTTAAAAAAAATGAAAACATGCATCTTTCACTCCTGACTTTATACTGACTGTGTGCCCCCACACCCCACCCAATCACATCGTCCCTCCTTTCCCCCAAAAGACTGGACAACCTTTTGTTCGCAGGGAACTGAAACCGAAGACGTTTTGGCCAGTGGCATCTTTCACTCTGCGGGGCCCATTGGAACATTAGCTGCAACTTGATATGGGTCTTTTCAAAGCTTTGTATTATTGGGTAAATATGGGTCACTTTGCAGTGGCCCATTATGTCGCTTCAGGGGAGCTGGAAAATACAAGTGCAGGTGATGAAGACAAATGAACGACAGTGTGAGTGCGTCAAACTGCAACCAAAGGAGAACATGATGAGTTTTACTGTAATTTAACAGTACTTTTCCCCTTATTTAAAAAAAAAACACTTCCTTTGTTTAAAAGTTCTAAAAGCAGTCTATTTTCTTGCTCCTATTTGTTACTACTCTGCTTTCAAAAAGTCAAATTGGATCAAGATATTTAAAAGTTACTACATTTTTTCCACATGGGTTTGGAAAACTGAATACCTGGACAGTGTCTCGTTTTCATGCAAATAATGGTCACAGATTTTCCTGGAGGGACACAAAGTATTCCCAACTCCTGCAGCCTGGAAAACGCACCAAAGCCCTGTCYCTAATTTAAAGTGAAAAGATAAGCGGCGATGCATTCCAGCAGGTTCGGTATGACTTCCAGCTGAGAATGTGTGGCTCCCTCTTTGTGTTTGCATCCACGATGCTGCAGCGAGAAAAGGGACCGTTTGAAGAGAAACGGTAGCGAGGCTGAGACTCCAGAGGGAAAAGGACAGCGAGCAGACGGAGATGCAGGCTGTGTTGGGCCTCCTGTCTAGACTGTGTGTGTTGGCTGGAATTCGATTAAGAAAGGCTGTGGAAGTCAAGGCTAAATGGAAAGAAAAAAGGCCTGTAATGCTGCTGCAGCAATTTCAACAAGTAGACACTTAATCAACATGCAAACCACAGAGTAGACACACAGTACAGTGGAAATCTGAATCACTTTTAAACAAAACTCACTGAAAATGGTCTTTTGTTAAATGGTGTGGTACAGTATGATGAAAAAATAATGCAACACAATAAGTTCTGATGAGGTAGACAAGCAGCCCAGGACCATGTTTTGGTAAAATAAAAAAAAGCTTTACATTATTACATTTAAAAAAATCTTATGCRAAGTCCACTTTAAATATATTTTGTTGTGTACTTGGAGTCCCTGTGAGTGYGKAAAAGTTAAATTTAGTCTCTCCCTGTGCTGCGTAGATATCTTTATTCTGTTTGGGTTGTATTTTTCAAMCTGTTCAGTTTTCTCAATTTTCTGTGATGTTTTCGGAATTATTACATGACAATATTTGCAACAGAACTTCTAATATAAGGTCTGGATTTACCAACTACAACTGGCTCCAACATGTAAGGCTGGATAAACAAGTCTTCCCTTGCTGATATGTTTTAATTAATTTGTAMATAAAAAGTTTCTGTGCTGCTATATAATCATAAACCCCTSTATCAAACTAGAATGGGTCGCGAACTGGAAGCTGGTGTGAAGCTTCTTGTTTGGATTTAAAGAGACAGCCTCAAAATGAGTTGATCTGAGACACACGTCAGAAAAGAGGTGAAAGAGGGGCTTGTAGAGTTAAAATAAGGAGGAATTCAGAACAAAGCATTGCAGTTCCACTTCATATAGACCCCAACTGAATGATTTAAATGTGAAAAAGGATTTAGAAGCATGATATGTCTCCTTTAAGGTAATTAGAATTGATTTTGATTAAGTATAAAAACAGGAAGATGAACTAAAGTTTAAGTCAAAGCTAGTTCTCACTACATCATAATAGTTTTATTAGTGATACAGTACTCCCACTTTTTATGATTTTAATTTCCAAATAATTCCATAGTTAAAAGTTTTTCTGTACTATATTGTTTCTCCTAAAACACAAACATCTCCAAAAGAAACAAGATGGTGATTTGTTTATATCTATAATATTAGTGGATGTACAAGATATTTATATTAAAGTTCTGAGCATTTTATTTGACCTCATGTTTTCCATCAAAATACAGAAATGGATTCTGAAGAAAAAGAAACACAGGAAGATTTTTTTTAATTTGTCCTCTTTGGCTTGGCCAACGTCAAATCAATTCACCCACTCTTGATCTGTGGTTTCAGAAGCAAAATTCATGATCCACAACACCATGACTTTTTGACTGTTTGGAAGATAAACTCTGYATTCAGCTAAAACAACTCCAAGTAAAATAACAATAATGATGTCTGCAAAAACTAATCAATAAACCACATCCTATCTTGCTCTAAGAACTGCAGCCTGTTTAGGTAAGTTTATTAAAGGGGAAGTCATTATATCAGGGTGTTGACTGTACAACAAGAGCAACACAGGGCMGGATGTGTCTGAACAGCGGCTGTCCCATCTTTCCAAAAGTCCTGAGCCTGCTGGACGACAGCACGAATGTCCGGAAATCTTCCTTTAGCGCTCTAACAGCAACTGAAGATTCCTGGCCTGGGAATGATGGGAGCCGGAGGGGGGGTTACAGAGCACACACCTGCCAGATGATTTGTCATTATAGAGGGGTCAGCACTCAGCTGTCACCCCCTAATCACCCATCCTACCCCTTAAGTCACCCCCCCACCCAACCCACTAAACTCCACTCCAGTCCTCCTCGAGCACCCTCTGCATTCCTCAGGCAGCTCCGGTTTCACTCSCAGCACTGCCACTCCATCTGCCCCTCCCTCGTACACTCTGCCCTGGGAGAAAATGTACCCCTGTGAGAGACACAGCACACTAAGTTCACTGTTTGGATGTGCCATGTGAGCTCACCCCCCATGTGTGTATCTACACAATTCACTTGTGTGTGTACATGTTTATCTAAGGGCAGAGCTGTTCATAACGATACCAGAGGCGAGGCGGCGGAGCAGAATCTTCGCCAGCAGAGGAACTCTGACTTGGTCCAGGCTGCGATCCAGAAACACAAACCCCCCGCAGACAAGCCAAACACGAAAAACTCTCACAGGTATACCATATCTGTCAACAGCGGTCTTTCACCACTACAGGTCAAAGGTCACACTCTTTTCCACTGAACGCTGTTTCCTCTGGGACGTGCGAGTGTGTGAGATAGATCCTC